CCAAAAGAACACACATGGTAGCTCCAATATTTCAATTGCAGTCCATCCTACCACCTCAGTGCAGTACCACCTCACTCTACTGCATGTTTAGACCCAATTTAGCTGTTCTCAGGGTTCACTATGAATTTACTAGCAAGAGCCTAACAGCCCTATTTGATGTATAGAGTCTGCAAAAGAAAAGAAATACAACTTATCCTTCCTGGATAAACATGTTTCTTTTGCAAATCTGCTGCAGATTCTTCCTCAGCTGTACTCCAGTTGGGCTACTGAATCCACACACACACCCTGGCCGACTTGTGAAGCATTACAGATACCAGAAATTCAGCAGATGGCGGACAGTATAAAGCAATTGCTAACATGACAAGTTTAATTGCTTAAAAGTCTCTAGGGCTGGGTCCTATAAAGACCTTATGCACTTGCATAACTTTAGTTAATGTGTGCCACTGAACTGACTTCAGTTAACAACTGTGTAACATAATAAATGGGTTAAGTCTCTAAAGGGCTGCATCCCAAGCAAAAGAAAGTGGAGAAAGATTAAACGCGCTAAATTGAGAGTCTGGTGAAAAACACGAGGTCCTATATATATATATATGACCTAGGACCACACACACATGGAGGGCAGCTAGGATGAATCAGAGGTTCTACTACATATAGCAGTGTATAGAAAGGACAATTTCTTTATGCCATAATGTTGTCTGTACTGGGAGAAGATGCAGCTGTTGAAGTTCCCTCTTCCGCACAACAGAACCTGACATCCCAATGGTACAGGGGGAGGGGGAAGACATTAGTATGAAAATAGATTGAAAGGCCATATTATTCTTTTCTGTGCCCCAGTGAGCAGAATGCACTTGTTCCTCAGAACCCAAATTACATCCATTGTAGCTGACTCTGTACCTAACTTATTGCTAATTAGGTTGTGAATTTTTTTGAAATTTAGAAATGAAGATCACTAAACACAGAGAACTTATTTTCAAGCAAAAATGTATAGGATCAGACTGCCTGACTGTACCTAAAAGAACATAAGAGCAGTACTGGATGAGACTGAAAGTCCATCTAATCCAGCAGACTGTTGACAACAGTGGCTAGAAAGGTGTGGGAAATGGAAGCCCCCAGGCAGTATATGAAGACCACCGTTCCTGCTTGTTCTCTGCCTCCAGCAACCAGATTCAGCAGCATACGACCTCTGAACATGGAGACTCCATTTATCCATATGGCCAGTGAAAGAAGAATTCTCTTTTTTTTTAAGTACCCATAGGTACACTTTTATTATTTTTCATATTATACACATATTATACACATACATACATACAACATACAAACACACATAAGACATACAAAGAGATCAGTATATTTTATTACTCTATTACCATATTTAAAAAATGTCTTAAATCACTTTCTAAAGGTTTGCTTAAGTTTCTGTATAATCTTATCTTTTTACCATAGTTTCTATTAAACTAAAAGAGATTAATAATACCAAAAATTTCATTACTTTAAACTATGCATTTATATTATACCAGGCATACAGTTTTTTCCACGTCTTTTGAAATGTTGGGTCTGTTGTCCCTCTCATCAACGATGACAGTTTGTCATTTTCAGCCGTCTCCAACAGTTTATTCACATATTCTTGCTTCTTTGGTGCTTCCATTTCCCCCCAATATTTTGCATATAATATTCTTGCTGCCGTAGATAGATGTACTATCAAATATCTATAATCTTTATCAAAATCCTTGGGAAATATGTTTAGTAGTAATATTTCTAGCAAAAATGGTATTTTAGATCTCAATATCTCTTGCATCATCTCGTGGATCCATCTCCAGTATCTCTTTGTTACATCACAGAGCCACCACATATGATAAAATGTACCTATCTTATTTTTACATTTCCAACATTTATTTGAACAATTTTCATTCTGCTTAGCAAGTTTATCTGGTGTAATATACCATCTATAAAACATCTTATACATCTTTTCTACAGTCTCCAGGTGGTAGCTGGAGAGCTCCCGCTATTACAACTGATTTCCAAGTGTCAGAGATCAGTTCGCCTGGAGAAAATGGACACTTTGGAAGGTAGACTCTATGGCATTATACCCTGCTGAGGTCCCTTCCTGTTCTAAACCCTGCCCTCCTCAGGCTCCACCTCCCACATCTCCAGGTGTTTCCCAACCTGTAGCTGGCAACCCTACCAGTGCTGCAACGGCCAGCTGTGGCACAGCTGCACTGCCACTAGTCAGCTCCCTAAGGGGGAAGTTGTGTGGCAGCTGAGTGGGGGTGGGGAAGGTGGCCCAACCATGCTGCAGGCTGCTGCCACGGTGGCGGTCATGGCAATTCCACCCCAGTGTTCCTTCCCTGCATTGTTGCAAAGTGGGGGAGGCTCCAGAGGCAGGGCAGGTGGGACAATGGAAGCTACATTTGAGGGGGCAGAGCCCAAGACCGCATCACTGGCAGGGGGTGGGGGGGCAGTCCAGAGGTGATGGCACCCCTGGTGGCATGACCCATGACCCTGGCAAGCCCCCGTGAGGCGCTAGTTGGGAGGGGGACACTTTTGGGATGCCATTTCCAAGGTGTGGTCTGGGGTTGCCCCAGACTGGTGGCTCACATCCGGAGTGAAAAGATCAGTGCCCCTGGTGGAAAAGGATGATTTGGAGGGTGGACTCCCTGGGCTTGCACCCCATGGTGGTCCCTGTCCTCCCCTGGCCCCATCCCCAAATACCCAGGAGTCTCCCAGTCGGGATCTGGCAACCTGCCTCCCCTATAATGGAACAATTCACAAATGTTGTATGCACTTGTTGCTCTCACTCTCACCAACATCCTTCTTTTTGGAGTTGGGGGATAATTATCTAGTACTTTATGCAGATGTTTGCAGGATCAAGGCAAGAGCTGCTGTGCGTCTTTGCTGGGACCTGAACTCCAGGGCATATGTAAGGCAAAGATATGAAGGTAACATATGAAGAAGGATCACATTCGATGAAACAAATCATGAATACAAACATCTTCTAAGATAACTATTACTATATGGCTGCTTTTTCAATAACTATAGAAATTGGTTGTCATGTGAACAGTAACTGATGTGTCACATGTCTGTGACAATAGCAAGCTTCACTCTCTGTTTTCTGCATTTTCAGGAAAACAATTTTGAAGAAGCCATTTTTTTTGGAATGTGCTTATATTTGCATGTGATACGGGAGACAAATGTTTTTGTTGCTTTTTTTAGGGTAGCAAATTGTTTATTTGAGGTGAATTGGCCAAATCTTCTTAATGACTACTATTTTTAAAAAATTATCTTAATATCCTTGTACAGAAATATGGTACAACCCTATTGTTCGCCATTAGAACACAGCATCATGCACAGGTCTGGTCATCAAGGGCCTAAACAAAGCACCTTCTGTAAGAGGAAATGTTCAGAAGTTTGGAATTTTTTAGATTAGAGAAAAAACAGCTACAGAGGAGGGAGAACATGATAGAACTTTATTAACATTATGCATGGTGTGAAAGAAGGGGATACAGGGAAACTTTTTTCCATCTCCCAAAATACTAGGATTTTCATACAAGTCATAATTAACTGGTGGAGCTTACTACCATAGATCAAGTGATAGCCACAAGCCAAAATGGCTTTAAAGGCAGTTAGATAAAACCATGAAGGATAGTCTATCAGTGGCTATTAACCATGATGGCTAAACAGAACCCCCGTGTTTGGAGTCAGTATACTGCTGAATGCCAATTGCTAGGGGGCAATAATATGGGGGGTGCTTTGGTTTTTGGTCCTGTTTGTGGGCTTTCTTCAGGCAGCTAGCTAGCCACTGTGGGAAACACGATGCTGGACTACATGATGATCCAGCTGAACTCTTCCAAAGTTCTTATACAAAATGATCATCTAGGATGTCAGAAAAGTGGCCTTGGGGTCATGGACAGGCTCCATATTTTTAATGTTAATTGACAGCTAATCTGGAATCATGCAAAATACATTTTGTGCAACTTGTCTACATTTCTGGCCAGTTTAGTGTGTCTCACTATTTGGGAAAGATGCATGAACTTCTAAACATGCACGTTTAATGAAAAGACCCAAAGAGTTTAATTGCATTTCTGGTATGGGCAAGCATAGTTGTAAGCTGGTTTGTGCTATGTGCCATCAAGCCGCTTCCGATTTAAGGGAACGAGGAACCCTATGAATTACTGACCTCCAAAACGTGCTATTGTTTAACAACATTGCTCAGGTCTTGCAAACAGAGGGCTGTGGCTTCCTTTGCTGAGTCAATCCATCTTATAAAGGGTTTTCCTCTTTCCCGGCTGCCTTCAATTTTTCCTAGCATTATTGTCTTTCCCAGTGACTTTTGTCTTCTGATTAATGACAAAGTACAATAGCTTCAGTTTAGTCATTTTAGCTTCTAGGGAGATTTCCGCCTTGATTTGATCTAGGACTCACTGATTTCTTTTTGGCGATCCACACTATCTGTAAAATTCTCCTCCAACACCACATTTAAAATGAACCAACTTTCTTTCTGTCAGCTTTCTTGGTCGGCCAGTTTACACACTGATACATATTAAAGGAAAATATTGGTTTTTCCAGCAACAAACCTCTGGTTTGATGAGATTTTTTCCAGACCATGCGTCACACGCATAGGGCTATCTAAACCATCATGGACCTCAATCTTAAACATACTTGCTTGGGAGGAAGCCCCTCAGATGTGTGGGGCTTCTTTATGTTTGTGCCATGTTTGTTTCCTTATTCCTGTGAGCAATCGGGCCACACGGGTCTTGCGGGGATGCCAAGGCTCAATCCTGCTGATGTGGGAAGTGCAAGGGATTTACTTCTAAGGAGCAGAAAAGGGATCTCAGCCCCCTCGGTGGAAGGGGTTCGAATCTGTGGTTGTGAGAGAAAAACCGAAGCCTCGACATTCCCCTTTTGACTGTGGTTTTGGGGTTTTTTTTGGCAGGAATCGTGAGGGGAGGAGCTGCAGCCGCCCGCCGCGCTGACAGACAGCGAGAGCAGGGCAGCCTCTCCGTTTAGCAAGCGGGTGACTCAGCAACAGCAGCCAGCGCGCCAGACCAGACTCGCCTCCTTCGCCGGTTCCGTTTCCGTCTTGCTGCTGCAGGCTCTGAAGCAAAGCAAGATGGCGACTACACTCTCGGCTCTGGAGGCCTCGGACTTCACTGGTGGATTCAGTTTCCACAACTGCGCCCGGTGAGGAGGCTGAGGGACGAAGGGAGGGAGACCGAACCAGGCGGGCAGGGCCGCCGAGTGGAAACAGGCGGCTGGCGCGGGGCACGAGGGGGTGGGGAGAGAGAGAAAGAAGCGGAAGGCTGGCGGTGCACACCGTGACTCAGGCGGTGCTGCGGCCTACAGGAGGCAGGGGGGGAGCTTGGTCCCCCTTCGACCTGCTTTATTTATGCAGTATATTAATTGTGTTATTGCACCAGCCTGTGCCCCGCAGGCGGAACCTGCCTCTGCTAAGCCACACGAGGGGCTGAATGACAAGTTTAGATTCCCCGACTTGGCTCTGCAGTTATGCCCTGCTTGAAAGGGAACGGAGGCCTCTCTCTCTCTGTTGTCTTCCCTGCAAAGCTGCCTTGATCTCCGCTGTGGGAGAGATGTTTTCTTAAGAAGGGGAATGCCTGCTTGGGAGTTTTGAAGGGTGGGAAGAGAGACTGTTAACCCCCCCCCCCGTGACATTCCTTCCGAATCTCTTTCTCCTCTTGGTATCATTATCAGGAAATGGGAGGAAAGTATAAGACGTTTGGTTTGCTTCAGGGGGATGGACCGTAAAGGGAACAGTGTTTTCAGTTAGTTTTGTTGATTTGGGATATATTTGAGGGGATGTTGGGATGTTTGTTGTCAAGGAAGGAAATGCACTTTCCAAATTTTTCTTTGCATCTGCCCCTTTGGTGCAATTTGGTCTGGTCACCCCAAACCAACTGTTGAGCGGCTGTTGGATAGCCTGGACCTTAACCAGGCTTCTCTCTGGAGTAAGTTCCTGGATTTTGTAGCAGTCTGGTTCCACTTAAATTTAGTCTGAGATCTCAGAAAGCCAGTTCATATTCCCCAAAACAGTTTTAGATTAGGTTGAAGTGTGTGCGTGTTCTGTCTTGGTGATCTGGTTGTAGGAGTTATCAGGGAGAACTAGAAGATAGGCTTAGATAATTGATGGGAAGAACACTTTTGTTCTCTTTGCCCTCTCTTTGGTAGCAGGGGCATAGCCAGTATCATCTTATGCATTCTTTGGAAAAGTTTTGTAACATAGTTTTTTCACTATTGTGTTGCAGGAATAGCCAGCTAGAAGCAGAGAGTGCCAAGAAGGGTCTCCGGCTTCCTTCAGCCCGCAAGACAGGAACCACCATTGCTGGGGTAGTGTTCAAGGTGAGACTTCAGCTGCTACTTTGACGTCTGTTGGAGTTAAAGTAGTGTGCCCCTTTCAGTGCCATTCATTCTCTGTTTCTAAAAATGCTTTTTGTTTCTATAGGATGGTGTTGTGCTTGGAGCAGATACAAGAGCCACAGAAGGGATGGTTGTTGCTGATAAGAACTGTTCAAAAATCCACTTTATCTCTCCAAACATCTAGTAAGTATGGTTTCCCCCAGTGTGTCCACTGACATTTTGGGATTATTGCATATAGGGAAAGCTACAGTCTGTTCCTTTCTGAGGATGACAAGGCTCTTGTTTCTAAGAGCTTTGGTCTTGATGGACTAACCTGGTGGATGCCAGTCCAGGATGTTTAGTGTACTCTTTGCGTTTTTGTTTTTATATTGTGTCTTATTTAAAATTTTTTAAATTGTATTGTATTTTTTAAGCCACTTTGGGTCCCCAATGGGAAGAAAAGTAGGATAAATATACAGTAAATAAATATGGGATGCAACCACTTAAACTTCAGCTAACTGAAATTGATGCTCCTTACACTGCAGTGATCTCATCATCTTCTTTTGAAAATTATTGTCTGTTTGCCTAGTTTGCTCCAGTTCCTTTAAAGTGGCAACCTGATACCAGAGTGTTTTTAAAGAACTGTTTAATTTGATTTGTTTGTTTAATTTGGTTACAGTTGTTGTGGAGCTGGGACTGCTGCAGACACTGAAATGACAACCCAGCTGATCTCTTCCAACATGGAACTCCACTTGTTGTCAACTGGGCGGCTTCCAAGAGTGGTCACTGCCAACCGGATGCTCAAGCAGATGCTCTTCAGGTAACTGCCATGTGCATGGACTGTGTGATGCTGAGGACCTGCAGAACAGCTGTTCTTGCTTCCGTTCAGTAAATACAGTATAGCAAGACGTGCAGTTGGGCAGGGTAAATATTTGAATGGCTTGTTTCAAGTAAGTGTGCATGCAGAGGTACCCAGGGACAGCTTTTAAAAATGAAGTTTTTGAATTTGGAGCCCATTTCTAGTGTTGTCATTATATATATTTTTTTCTTACCCAGGTATCAAGGTTATATAGGTGCTGCCCTTGTTCTCGGAGGGGTTGATGTCACTGGCCCCCACCTTTACAGCATCTATCCCCATGGATCTACAGACAAGTTGCCTTACGTCACAATGGGTGAGCAATGCTCTTTCATATTTTAGAACATGGCAACCATACTGCCTACTAGTGGAAACCCACAACATTTCACTTTTATTTCCTCATTGCCACATTTTTTTCTATAACTAGTTTTATGTAACCTGAAAGTAAAACCTTTTTTTAAAAAAAAGCCACCGGAGGGGATTTTTAATTTTATTTGTTTATAATACTACATAAACTACCAAGAAAAAATTGGGATAGGGGGACTACAATTTTAGGGAGAAAGAAAAGATAAACCCACACTAAGCTAAAAACCCAAGATTAGGAGATCATTCCCTGTTAAAATGCTGTTAGTAAAAGAAAAGGCTGTTAATAAACAATATACTTTGTGAGATCCTGTCTTTCTAAGCTTATATGTTAGATTGTTACTTGTTATGAGAACTCATAACTGAAAGTAAAACCATTGTTGTTTCATCAGCTTTCTTGATTTCTTATAAACATTTAACTTGTGTGTAAATTGTAATTTCATTGAGAGAAATCCAGATTCCCTGGTCTTGGTGGATAATTGAATTTCTAGAATATAGCTTCAGTGCTGAATCATGTCCCATGTTAACAATTCTTCATCTGCACAGTAAAGGAAAGAGAAACACGAAGGATCTGAAATGCCACCATACCCTTTGGAGAAGTAACGTTGAAATGGGCACTTAAGGTTTTTTAAATCAGCACCATGACTGATTTATTGACTGAAAGCCACAAAAATAAGTTAGCTGTCTGGTGGGTCTTCTTGGGACTTCTGCTTGTCTGTTTTGTTACTTGTTAAAGCAAAAGTACCTGAATAAAAGTCATAAAAGTTAGCTGACTGAAAACTTGTGAGAATAGTTTTCTGTCAGTGACTATGAATGAGAGACAGAGGTTTTCACTAATTATTTGTTCTTGAAATTCTTGCAGTACTTTGTAAATAGGTGACAATATGAATGTTTGCTAAAAATTGTTTGATTGAACTCTGTTTTATCAATATGAGTTCAGGCTTATCTCAATGGCATTGCTCTAAAGCTGATCCCTCCTGTATACACAGAAGTAGCAATTTTGTTTAGCAGCACAAAATGGTATTGCTGAATTTATTAGAAATAGTGTTAAGTAGGAAAGTAGGATGCACTCAATCACAGAAATCTTCCTTTTATCAGTAAAAAGTTCTTGTTAGTCATGCAAAAGGCATGTGGACTTTTTTGATGCTCTTTCACACACATGCTAGGGAAGAGGAGTTGTATGCATATGTAAGTAGGTTTGTATAGGGTACTTAGACCAACAGGGGAGAAAAGGCTTTTTGAGGCCAATAGATGGTGCCATGGTACTCCACAAAGTAGTAAATTATTTGTGCATAAAATCTATTTTTAAAAATGCTGTTACAGGATTTATGATGTAATATTCTAAGCTCTTATATTAACTAACATAAAAGTTGAAATAGGATTACTATTTATAAATGTGTCCTGAAACGTATCAATTATTCAATAACTGAACCATAAATTAGCTTGCTGTGTGTATACATATTAAGTGATTAATAAACCAAAACTAAAGGACTGTTCTCCAGTGCTTTATGCGAGGCATCTTTTGACATTGTTTGTTTGATACTCAGTCTAAAGAATGGCTGTAGTGTGAATATTGTTTACTGAACACAGTAAAATATTTTTTTTTTCCTAGTAAGGGCTCCTCTGATAAGATGCAAACAGGCATCTAAGCCAGGGAAAACTAGCAGTGTTAATCTGCCTTTTTAGTAAATACTGTACATATCAGTTTGTTTCCTATTTAAAAAATAAGGCTTCAATCTTGGCACACTTTGGAACAAATCCCATTGAACTCAGTAGGATTTACTTCAAAAGAAGCATGCTTAGAGTTTGGATGTAAGCTGTTTCCAAAGCTGTACTGTTGGTATGCCACAGAGCATCTTGTACAAATCCGGTCAACCATATGGACGACTTCCATTTGCCTTTTAAAGAGATTGTGTAAAGCTTGTAGTTGTCATGTTTAAATTTAAAGGGTCAGATGCAGGAAAATGTAGTTCTGATAAAAATTTCATACTTACCTATTCCATAAGGCTTGGGGTAAATAGCTGTCTAAGATAATGTGAAATAAAATCAGGCACTGAATCCAGTATTCTGAAGCTCAGCCCTTGTCTTTGAAAACTGGCACAAATGTGAGTGTCTAACAAGGCATAATAATCCAGTTTTGATTTCTCTAGACAGAGGGGTGTATTAAGATCAGCACCATCCCCTTAAATGATACTGTTTTGTCTTCTTGGTAGTCCTGGATAGACTGATTGGTCTCTAATATGTTTAGCACACTAGCATATGTTTGAAATCAACCCTTTGGTGGGTCACTGGAAAGCTATTTGCTGTCATTTCCATTCTGGTGGTTGTCCAAAATGGCGTTTCTGTTAATTACTACTATTATTCTCCCATCCCTTCCTAAGGAGTTCAGGGCAGCAAACATCCCTGTCATACAGCCAGTGAGTGATCCAGCTGAACAGAGATTCAAATTGATCTTCCCTGTCTAAATTTTCACTCTAGCTGCTATACTGACCTGATGCTCAAAGTGCTTAGTGCAGATGCTTAGATCGCTGATATTGGATGAGATGTTAAAGTCCACATATGCCACAAAATCATCTTAATTTTTTAAAAAAACAGCAAGTTCCTCCCATTTGTCCATACTGAATGTTAATTACCCCTCCCATGTTCCTTCTGTTTCAAGTGATATATTATGAAAAACTGGCATAAATGAGGAAGATCTCTCTGTATTTGCTCACGATATGCAAAGGAAATAGAAATCCAGCATCTTGTGTCTGAACACAAAGCAGTGTCCTCCCTCAGAAGGAGTTTAAAACATACTCAGTGCTTACTCAGGAGTGAAAACATCAAATTAAAGTGTTTATGCTGACAAAGGACAAATGTGGATTTCAGCAAACGATGCAAGATTGTCTGATTGCTGGCTTGTCTAGAAAAGCTTCTGGCCATGGCTATATAATGAAATGCGTGCATAAAATTAAAGCACTTGAAGTCTGCAGCTCAGACTTGGGAAGCATCGAGCTGCATTCTGGTGGTCTCTAGTGGCTGAGCCTGGTCTCTTGGCACCAGTGTTGTTTCATATTCATAAATCAGCTCTTCATGCATTGGCAATGTCTGTCTGCTGCACAGGCGATGCCACCAAGAGACCAGGCCTCTCAGCCAGGAACCAGAGTGAAAAATGATGCCGATCGATGGGTCTGGGGAGAGCACTGGATTTCTACCCAGTTTGAACAGCAAATTGAATAACAATGAGCATTTGTGAATAAGTGCCCTGTCAGGGACTGCTGACACTGATGGATTAGAGAAATCTAAATGTTACTCTCTTCACACTGCACACGTTCTTCAACGTGGCAGGCAGAGGCAGCAGTGGTAGCAAACAGGTCCTATGGTTCTGAAGATGTGCACTGCTTTTCTGTGTTTTTCTTTTTTTTGCTAAAAAAATATATATACAAATGCTAATTTAGGTATTGGAATCACCAGTTCCTGTTTAACCCTGGACACTGAGATTAAAAAACTCCACCACCCCCTCCCCGTGGTCTGATGAAGAAAATAGCATTTCAGATGCATGTAGAGTGATTTCCAGTCTGTTTTAAATTTAATTACAGGCTAGCACTTGCGTGCCCCCATCTAGCTGATCCAGAGCATACACTGTTACTCCAGTATACGTAACAAGCACTGTGTGAGCAGGTGTCCTAGTCAGTGCCCGGGCAGTATTACACGTCTTCAGTGTTCGGACATACAAATGGGGTTTTGCATGCTGAGGATTCACAATGCTGAACAGAGCAAGACAGCTGCTGAGCAACTCATTGGGTTTTGTTTTTGAAAAGGGACATGGAGCTATGCTGGCCATGCTGAGAGTGTTGTCTGACACTCTGGTTCAGGGCCTCAGACACAAATATAATAATATAACAACTGCTGTGTTAACCAACCTGCATGCCATTTTGTTAGCAGTCAGATAAGTGCCAGATTGGTGTACATTTTTTTGTTTAAGTCTAGTTGCTGGATTTTGGTTTTTTTCCTTTTTATGTTTTTCTTTTAAAGAAATAATTTCTTTAAAGAAATGTCAGATCAGTGCTACATCTGTTTCCCCACCGCACCAGAAGAGACAGAGTGGGGTTTTGCAGAAGAAAGCTGGCTGCTGCTGAATTGTATGGGAGAAAATAGTCTGCAAGAGGCACAGGGAAAATGTCACTTCCTTTGCCCCAGGGAATGTTTGGGGTGGTATATCTCCCCCTGTTCCTGTTTATACTCTCATGGAACTCAATAGTCGTTGTTAAGTGGTTGAGCTGTAACTGAAAAGTCTTTGAGGACAGCTGACACTGGAGTGATCAGGCACAGGGCAGTTAGTCTCCATCCCAGTTGCATTGTCATTTTGCATATCAGTATTTAGCTGTTCTAATTTGCTTGAGCACAGTATGTGATGAGAGCAAAATCTGGCTTCACACGTTTTACAGGCAGAACCTCTGCAAACTAACAGTCCATGTATGTGCATACACATCTTTCCATTATCTGCAGTCCTCCATTCCCATGATATTGGCAGTCCTTTTCCTAGTGTATGAATGCAATAGCTGCCACCTGTTCTGTTACGTAAGCTCGGTCACCTTTGGCATTTCTAGTCAAGGCTCCATCTTGCTTAAAAGATGGCAACCTTATCTCCTCGCCCTTCAACAATAGATGTATTTTTGTTGGAAGCAGTGCATGCTTTATAAAGAGTATCTAGAACACGGCTTCATTTTTATTTTTCCTTGTGGTTTAGTGCAGTTCCTTTTGTTTGCTGTTTTGGGCTATTTACATATTCTGTGAATACTGTGTAAGCCCCTTAGAAAGTGTTCCATTTTTTTGTTCCTTGTTTTAGCTTTTTGAAAGTGGAGCCATATGTGGTGCTGAGTCTGAAATGAATAGCCATTGCCTGGAGTATAAGAGGATGCTATGAGCACCCCACTGCTTATAAATGTGATGTATTTGGTACTGTAAAGGTAATGATCCTCAACCACAGCAATATTCTATAACAGGAGTATCTGTCACATTCACTGGGATTACCATGTTCATTGATTTGTGTCTGTAAATCTGCTGCTTCTACCCTTTAAACTTGATCTATAATTGGACCTCCTTAAATGGTTCAGATAAGGTAGTCTGTATTTTCTCAGCAGTGTCACTGTCAGCTTCTCCCTTTTCATTATACATTCAGCAGACTTGATAAAATCAGCAGGATGCCTCATTTGAAACTGTTTAATCGCTGCCTTTTTCTTTTGCTAAACCATTGAGGTGGTCAAGCGATGTACACAAATCATTTTAAATGGAAAATACGGCTTTCTGGGTGACCCAGCTAAATAGATAGTGGTATGCAAAACAAGTTAAAAAGTAATAAATGCCAAAAAATCTCCTAATTGGCATAAAAAATCGTGGGGTAACTTTGTTCAATCTCCAAAAGTAGAGTGGCCTGACATACAGTCTGGGCTGCATAGAGACATCATGATGTCTCTATGCAAAAAGATTCTCTTCTGAACAAAGCAAGTTTAAAAATACAAATGGTGCACAGCTGCTTCTTAAAGTCCACATGTAGGATGTGCTTGTGATGCCTGTGATTTGTTGGGTGAAAAGAGGCTCTTGCAGAACTATCCTTGAAATAATCTGATATGTATGAGGTGTGAATAAATCCTTATGTTTTTCACATCTGCCACTTTGTCTGCTTTACTTTTCAGAGCAGACAGTAGGAACAATACCAAAATGAATGCACTGTAATAATCTGGTTTAATGTAGATGAAGAGAATGAATAACCAGGAGGCAGCAGCCAGCAGCTTTCTTAATATTGCTGGCACATCTTCTATGCTACGGTGAATACACTGAACTAATTCATTAAAAGTCTGTTCCTTCCCATCTGCTTCATATATTTAAACTTCTAGCATACCTCAGCCTCGAAGACTCTGACTGGACAGTAGTGGCATCATGCAGTTATAGATTAAGAAATAGCTATTCCTTTTTTAAAAGAAGGTGGAGTGGAATCTGAGAACATATATATGCTTGATGAGATTGTTTAACTTTTTTGTACTACTGAACGTCACGGTTGTGCCCCTCCGTAGGGGTCTGCTCGCCCTCCGCCGTGACGTTCCCCTAGGCTGTACGAGCCTGTGACCCAGCCCAGGACGTGGAAACGTGACTACAGGGAGGCAGGACAATATATCCTTTGGAGGGAGCGCGCCTCAGACACAGGCCAGCAGGGGGTTCCGTCACCGCCCTCGGCCTGTGCTGGGCCTGGCTTATCTTGGTCCTTTCTACCCTCTCTCTAGGCTTCCATCAGCGAGGACCTCGTTCTAACAGCCAGCCCAGCAAGTCCTCACTGGCTTGCTGATCCCTTCCTTTTATTTCCTCCTCCCGTCTCGCCACTTCCCCCGTCCTGGCCCCGCCCTCCTTCAAAGCCTCCGACGCGGATGCGTCCGATACCGCCCGGCCGCGCCCCAGCTTCCCAGGGTGGCTGCGCGTCGGCGCGTCCGCCCCGGCTGCTTCCAGGCCCCTTCGAGAGGCCCGCGGCTGCGTTCTCGCCCGTCCGCCCCCCCTTCCCCGGCAGTATCCTCCTGTCTGAACCGGGGCCTCGGGGTCTTCGGTGCGGTCGCTTCCGGCGTCCCTGTTGCCTCCCGTCGCCGCGGTAGTATCGCCGCCGCCGTCGCCGGTACGCTCCTCGCCCGTCGTTGTGGTCATCCTCCCGGTACGTGCCCGGTGATTCCGGGGGCCGGGGGTTCCCTGCAGCCCGCTGGACGTCGGGGTGCAGGAGTCACGGGGGCGACCGTGACACTGAACAACAGACACAAAGCCTGGCTTCCTTAATAACCTATTACAATTTGCTTTCTGTAGTCCATTCCATTTCAAAAGCAGTTTTCTGTGTGGCATGGTTGTGGAGGGTGCTGTGGTTCAAGGAACACAAGCCCCTGCCCCTGGTGTGTATACCTCTGTTTAATAACTCGGCTGGTAGGAATTTGCAAATGCAAGTTGTATCTAAGGATCCAATACTCAAGCTGCTATTTTAGAGTTAGGTGGTTATAAATTCAGGTGAGGAGGATCCCAGCTGAAGTAAGTGATGATGCTCATTTAAATGGTCAGTAGCAAGATGAAAATTAGCATTTGTAAAGATCCAGTTTTAATGGCAAGTAGCACAACGTTTTGTGTTTCCTTTTTCTTTTAAGCATTGCCGTTCCATTGCAGTAAAACAAAAATAAATGATTTCTCTGTTGATTTCAGGTTCTGGTGCTTTGGCAGCCATGGCAGTTTTTGAAGACAATTTCAAGCCGGACATGGAGGTAACCCCCCCCCCCCCTTGACCTCCTGCCACTGTGTCTTTGTTGTGTTTTCAGCTATAGGAATAGAAGGGAAACAATATGTTGGGCAGGGCATTTCTGTTTTTTACCTATAGCCTTATTTGTGTGTCTTGCCTATGATCCTACATCTGTTTTAATAATTGCATTAAGCATATGGATCTGGGATAGGATAACTTGTTTCTTTCTGAACAGTGTTCATTGTTAATAAAATAATATGGAGTATCGTAGGCAAATTAATATATAGGCAAGTTAATATATAGGTGGGGGTGGCTTATAGCATAGTGGGTCCTACTGTAGGGTATGAATTGGAGCGGGGATCTCATGGTCTTTTCCTTTTACTAAGAATTCTATGAACATATGTATTACCCTTCCTTTGTAATATAGAACTCTGTTTTGTTAATAACTTTTGTGTTTGTCTAAGGATAACTAATTTTGCCACAGGTTTTTTCCCAACTGCATATATTTGGCCATTTGATGCCCCCTCTTTGTCATTTGTGGTATATTATTGTCAACCTACTGTGACTAGCCAAGGACCATGAGAAAAGGATTTAATCTTTCAGGGCTCCCTGGGTTTTAATATTATTTGTACTTTGTTCATAAAGATGTGAGTATGCAGAGGGGCACAAAATTGTAGGAGGCATGATCTCTCTTACTTGAAAAATCTGATACTTGGGCTGGTGTCTGTTAACATGCAGGTACAGAAATCTATGGTCCTTGGACTGTTCTGTGTTTACTCCTTGTTGTCCTACAACAGTTGATGTTATACACTTGAGACTTTGGAACTAGAAATCTGCTGAAAGCTGCTTGATAAATAATAAAGTATTTAAGTAATGTTAGGAAAAAGGAGGCAAATGCATCATGTACAAGCCTGGACCATATACAAGCGCTGGGGTTTGTCCATGCTTCACTCCTAGATTTAGCCCATCCAACATGATTGATTTGCAGCACAACAGCCCTGACAACCACTATATGTACATATGTGGGGCAGAATTTTGTGCCCCACATCACTGCCACCAGTTACAAATTGTGTCAAGTTAATGGCATGTAGGAAGGCCGAGCGCTGGAGGAATTCGAGATTTTGAATTATGGTGCTGGAGGAAATCTCTTGAGAGTCCCTTGGACTGCAAGAAGATCAAATCAGTCAGTCGTAAAGGAATTCAACCCTGACTGTTCCCTGGAAGGCCAGATACTGAAGCTGAAGCTCAAATACTTCAGCCACCAAATGAGAAGGGAGCACTCATTTATTTATTTATTTTATTAGTTTGATTCTAGCCCGGCTTCCCCGCCAAGGCAGGCTCAGGGCGGCTCACAACGAGAACAATGGATAAAGCAACAATGTAAAAATCAATATAAATACACAGTAAAATTATTAAAACTATTATCATAATGATGGCGTGACGGCTGTGACAAAGTGCACATACAACGATACATCCTCTAGTGGTGGGCTCAGGGTAGAATTGGGACAGGGTGAAGATGATAGAACGCAGCTCTTTATCTAAATGCCTGACGAAAGAGCTCCGTTTTTGCGGCCCTGCGGTACTGTACAAGGTCCCGCAAGGACCCTGATTTCATCCAGAAGCTCATTCCAATAAGTTGGAGCTGCCACAGAAAAAGCCCTTAGGCATCATTGGAGAAGACCCTGGTGCTGGGAATGATTGAAGGTAAAAAAAGAAGGGGATGGCAAAGGATGAGATGGTTAGACAGTGTTATCGATGCAATGGACATGAAATTGAGCAAACTCTGGAGGACAGGAGGGCCTGGCGTAATGTGGTCCATGGGGTCGTGAAGAGTTGGACTCGACTGTGTGACTGAACAACAGCAACAAATCCTACTACTACAGTGAACAAAGTTTGCAACTTTCTTCCAACTTAAGTGGCTCTTCCTCCAACAGAAGAGCCAGTTGGACTAAAGCAATTTCCTCCAGCCTAAAGTAGAATACATGCCTTTTGGTTTCTAGTTTTCTATATAACTGATTCTTATGCATACCCTAAAGCAGCATTTTGAGCTTACTGTAGTGTCAAATTTATTCTTAGTAATAGACCAAAATCTGTCCTTCCTGCAACTCGAGAAGGGATGCAGTCTCTGAAGTCAGAGAGAGTCCTACCTTTTCTGGAGTAGAGATGAATAAGTCTGACATGGTGTACTTTAAAAATGCTAGTGAAGTCTGGTGTCAGGTTGGAGATGATGAGCCCTACCTGTCTTACTGCTGGTGATGGCATTTGTGGACTCTTGAGCACAACAATATGTTCAGATGAAATGGACAGTCAGCCATTATGATTAGAATCCCTTGCAAATTTGCTCATAGTCTCAGTGAGTCAGATTTTAACAGCAGCAGTTCTTATAATCTTACTAGGGAATTTTGAGACTTTATCCTAATCAGTCTTCCTCAAACCTCAGAGATAAACAAGACAAGGCCATAAGGTAGCTAACTTACTGCCCTACTCCCCCCCCCATTCAGAACAAAAGTCAGTTACTCTGTTAGCCCCAACTAACACTGGTGACTCCAGCATCAACACAGTTCCCTATATTGCAGTGGCTGTGTTTAGACTTGCACTTTGCTGTGTCCTAGGGTTTTGCTTGGTTGCACACACTGCCACAAATATTTTGGTAGGTTGCCATACAACCCAAATATGTATGTGTCTGGGAAATCCAAGGGAAGGTTTATCCCTGTAGTTCATTGCCCCATTCCTTTTCTTTTGTTTTTCAGCCAGGGAGGCACCATCTCCAGGGGTGTGCAAACCCCACCCCTGTATTTTTCGGGTTCAGGTATACTGAACCCAAAATATTAGTATTTCCCAATATTCCTTAATCCCAATACTGGTATGATATTTGGATTCGGGAAATATTTGAGTTTTTTCAACTCATTATACCCTATGGGGACCATTATAGTCAATGATCCCCATAGCCTATAATGGAGAATTGATCCAGGGGTATCTGGGGCTCTGGTGGGGCTGTTTTTTGAGGTAGAAGCATCAAATTTACAGCATAGCTGCTGGTGCCTCTCCTCAACCCCTCCCCCCAAGTTTAAAAAAGAATGGACTAGGGGGTCCAGTTCTATGATCCCCAGAAGAAGATGCTCCCATTCTCCATTGTTTCCAGTAGAGGGGAAAAGGCATTGAAAGGAATTGTGGTCCCTTTAAATGCCTTCTCTGAGCTGTGTGACTCTGCTGTGAGTGAACTTCAAAGGTATTTAAAGGGTTCACAGTCCCTTTAATTGCCTTCTCCAAGCTAAGAATTCACTCCAAAGGCATTTAAAGGGACTGAGAGCCCTTTAAATGCCCTTTAACTGCAGCTATCCAGTGGTCCCAAAAAATCCCAAATATTTTTGGAATTTTTCGGGTCAGCCATTTTTGGATAGCCAGATAGGAGCTCACTGGTTAACTGGATGAAAAAACACCCGAAAAATTCCAATAAGGAACTTTTTGGGTATTTTTTCAGCTTGATTTATGCCGAATGCACACCCCTAACCACCTCCTATGTAAGACAAAAGATTTAATTGGACAACTGATCTTTTAAAATCTGTGTTTGATCCAACTGGTGTAAAATGGGATAGATTTACAAAATCCAAGTAAAATTAAAAACTGCATATGCAGGTGTGTGATATTGTACATTTGTAGGGAAAATATTATGGCAATGGCTTTTATCTTTCATCTTTAAATTTAAGGGAAAACTGACTTTTACTTTTTTGTTATAAACAAACTGGAATAATTTTGGCTGAGTGTTCCAAGACTTGGTCATATAAAAGCATGAAAGATATGCTTTTTGGAAGGCAAATCTCTAGGTACCGAAGTGTAATGTATGGAATTCGTTGAAAATTTTTGACTCCTATCATTAAAATGGGTAGAAAATTAGTATTTTTTCCTGTTAAAATGAATGCTGCTCCTTTTTGCACTAATTGTCAGAATATCTTGATAGAGCTCTGAAAGGGTAGTAGTATACTGCAAGACCATCACATCACAGAGAACTGATTCAAAGGCAAACCGTCCTGCACCCTCTGGTATCAACTTGCAAATTAGCATCTGGAATATAATTAAACGAGCTTAATGAAAGTAGCAGCTGAATACTGCTGGAAAAGACAATCAGCCTTTCCCCCCTCTGATATATATTCTGTACTACTGAAGCTGTTCACCAAAAGCATCGTGTGAGCGCAGTTAAAGGCATTAGCATTTATTTGAAGGGTAGGAACTGTGTTTTTTTCATTCTGTTACGCTTTTGGCATGCGCCGGCGTCCCTAGAGAGCCGTGCCACAACACATAGTGCACAATATTTATAAATCAGTGACAGGCAATAATAGCAACTTGAAAAATTTCTTTTGCTGGAATTTCAAGTTGAGAGCTGCCAAAAGCTGAGGGATCAAACCTGCTCTGGCAGCTGCTGTGCCCTACAGTGAGAATAGCAGACTTTGAAGATGTTCGACTTAAAGAAACGAAGACTGCAGGCTTAGCCAATTTTTGCAGGTTTCTCAAGCTCTGGCTTTCTGCTGTTTGAAGATGAGTTGTTCAAGCTTCTACCACCGCCTGAGGCAGCTTCACACCAGCAGGGCCTATCCCCCCCCCCCTTCTCCCTGACTTAGTGTGTCTTGAGTTTTTGGGTAGCACATGCATTGTCAGTGCCAAGCGTGACAGCCCTTTCACGGGCTGCAGCACAGAGAGACGATCTCTATCCAACCTCCTCCAGGTAGATAGATGCTGGCCTCTGGAGGAGCTGTTATAGATTGCCAAGCTGGCAACAGCTTTTGCCCTAAAGCTCTATAGGTGCCTCAAAACAAGATACCAAGCAAGTGGCTGTTGTGAGACAGGCACAGTTGCTCATGTGCGCCCCTATACACTTGTCTGAAGTAGTGTAAATGAGAGAGCAGTGTGCCTAGTGACTGTTCTTGAAGCAAAGCCATTTTCTGTTTTCAGTGGAGTTTGCTACTTGATACAGGGTGGAGGAGATCCTACGTGCCAAGGCATTTTATTTTCTTGCACCAGACCAATATC